GATGGTCGTGCAGCGTGTCGTTTGTCGGCAAAAGCCGTCGTCGACTTGACGACGCGTCGGTGACGTGGCGCCTTCTTGGAATGGTCTTGATGTGGCCATCGGCATGGCTCGACATTAGTCCGTCGGCAAACCTCCCTTCTTAGAAGAAATGTTCGCCGATGGCTCTTTGCCGACGGCCCGCGTCGGATTGCCATCATCAAAAGCGCTTCTTAGATGGCAATCCAGACTTCGCCGATGGCTGCGGGCCATCGGCAAACAAGCCAGATCCGGTAGTGGCGAGCAACAATATTAAGCAATATCTCAGCACTGCGTCTGTCATGTGCCCAACACATGGCCATTTATCTAGTATATACTATATATGTTCACCAGTGGCACATGGGTTGCTGCCCCTGCCGTTCGCTGCCAAAATGATCATTGGATTTTATGCCCGTACGTGCTGGTGGGAGATTTGTTCGTTATTGAGCGTGGTGCGTGGTCGTCCTCGCGTCTACGACGAGGAGTTTGAGACCCTGGCCGTGGGCTGTGTGTTGCCGGCGCCTCCCGCTGCATACGGGCACCGGCCACCGGCCACCGGCCATGCCAACCCAGCAACAGCATGGCACACGGAGTCACGGAGAGGATCACAGGAACGTGCAGAGCGCCCTGGACGGACGGTCAGGTCGTCTGCTCTCATTTTCTACTTCTACTAGCGGTGGCAGCGGAGCAGACTGTTTGGAGCACCGTGTGTCAGGTCAGGTAACCGACCAGTCATAGGAAACTGGAGCAAGAGTGGGGTGGACCAGTGACTGAAGTGTTCCCGCGTCACGGTTTGATGACACAGTGTTCACGTGCAAGGACCAATGTCTTACAGGTTCTCCTAAATTTTACTAGAGGATAATTTTTATTCTCAATAACCACTTGTAGAAGTTACTATGGTCTCGTACATTTAATTTGTTTCTTGCGCGTTCCTTGTCTCCGTATAATACTTCCTCGCTCCAATCTTCTTTCTCCGTCGTGCACGTGCATCCATCCACGCGGCATTTTCCTTCCGGCGTCGAAAGCGACAGCGTCCCAGCGGCCTCCAGGCTCTGGCCGCTTTGTCAGATCAGATGGGCTGATGGGCATGCATGTGCATCTCTGTGCTTGCAGGAGACATTCTCCCATTTCCATCGTCACGCTTTCATTCATTTGTTGACTCTGGCTCTGGTCCCGGTTCCTGATCAAGGTAGTCGGCCATCCTGTTACTATTTTGATGATGTGTCAGCAACGCTGAGCCACCATCAGGTCCAAGTCAGGAAGACCAAGACAGGGAGCTGCTTCCTGGGCCGCGACGCAGCACAAGAGAACGACGGCCCAGTTCGCGAGCCCAAGGACCGGAATGGATGTGACCAAGTCGCCAGCTGTTCCAGGAGACGTGCGGCGCCAGCCTAAGTAGTCGAGTGATGGAGAGAGAGAGATTTTATGAATTATCAAACATATTGTAAACTCTCCTAACGCTCCTCTGTTCTAAGTTTAGAACTCCTCCGAACTCCCTCTGCTCTTCGATTCGTTGCCTGTTCTTAGTTCTTCCGATCCTACTGCTTACATGATGCCATTCACATAATCATTGATTCATTGGTGCCTTATCTGGAGACCGGCATAGCATCTTTCCTCGATCTCCTTCCTCCTCGGTCCACCGTCCCGTATCTTACGCATTTAGACATGCGTTATTGCATGCCATCCGGCTTTATACTGGGCCTACAGGGCTACAGGAAAAATCAAATCCAAGTGCGCCATCGTGTCTTGCATGCAACTCTTTTTTTTTTTTTTTGAGAATTCTGAGAATTATACCATAGGCGTCTCGTTGTAAGGGGGACGTCGCTACTGAATGTCTGAATGTAATTATTTGTCATGCCGAGCCGAGCATAAACGTTCCTGGACCTGAATAATGAATGCTCTGCCTGAGGCCACGGCGTACAACGAAATTGTTACCGTGGAAAGGAGCATTCAGATCATCTCATGTGGATCAGTGGATGTGCCGATGTGGTACACACGAGCTCACAGCTAGAGCTAGTCGCCTATCCTTTCGGGTCAATGCAGCATAGGCCAGAGATTGAGTGGCCAACACATGGTGTCGTGTCCCTGCGCCTGCGCCTTCAGAGAAGAGAGTCCACTCCACGCCCATGCTCGATGGCGATTGGGAAAACAGAGACCGTTTGTCGTACTGGTATGCGTCACCGTCACTTGGATGGAGGTCCTACTAGGGTCTCGTTCACTTTGTAAAAAAAGTGAACCCGATAAATAGTACCACTTTCATCTTATTTGGTAAATATTATCCAATCGTGGACCAACTATCTTCCAAAATATTCATCTCGTGATTTCCAACTAAACTGTGTAATTAGTTATTTTTTTTACCTACATTTAATACTCCGCATATATGGCTAAAAATTGATGCGATAAAGAGAGAGGGAAAAAACTAATTTGGATGGCATCTAAATAAGGCGTAGATGACTCGGAGAATCTTTGCCGGCCGTCCGTGCAGTTGCAGTTGATTCGCCCGTCGTCGTGACTCGTGAGCAGAGACGAGTGTATCAGCTGTGGCCTGTGGGTGGCCTGTAGGCCGGCGCTGACAATGTCACGTGATGACGCGTCAGGATTACCCCCCAGCGATGCAAGATGCAGAGGACGTACTACTACAGTACTACGGCAATGATATGAAGTTGCCATGGACCGGATACGACTATACGAGGCGAAGGTGTGGCAACGGCCCATCTACGAAGGACAAGATCAACGGCCCATCTACGGAAGACTAGAGCGACAACTTCAGAAACCTTATAGAAGAACACATGAACGAAGTTGTCTTCTAACTCTGTCTTGAAATCTTTCCTCGCTGCTCCTGTTCCCAATCCCTAGTTCCTCCTAAAAATCCGTATTCAATTCCTCTATAATTACTTGAGATAGTGTCCCCTAGACCTTCAATTGGTTCTGTATTCCTAAGTTGGTGGTCTATGAACGCACCAGAAGCTCATGTCACGGTCTCCACAGCCTCATAGCCCCCTGGAACAAAGGTAATGACGTGCGAGGCAATCTCTCAAAATAAAAGAAACCAATCACAAGAAAATAAATAAAAACAGAAAGAACACGGAAAATGAAGAAAAAGATAGAAAGCAACCAGCGTCATAGTGAAGAGAAAATGTTAGAAATTAACCTCCACGACAACAAGCTATCTATTAATCTCCATGCGCGGAAGCGTCGATCAGATCTATCGAGACCAACATGCAAGATCGTAGGCAAAGCCTACTCCTCCCTATGTCCACCTGACGGAAGATCGGGAACCCGTCCCCATCAACCAACAACACTAGACGCTACAAGGTCTCGGCAACGTGCCACTGCCTTCCACGAACCTATCGCTATATCGTCATGGTTACAACAACCATCCTCTTATATTTATGAGGAGACCGGGTTACAGAGTTTGACTCTAACTCTATCTTATACTGCCAAATACAACCCAAAGTCCTAGCATAACCAAAATTAGTGCATAATATTCGGCACATATCTAATAGAAAAAGAAACTAATGGCTAATGATAACCAATGTCTAGATTGGGAGGGGGATGAATAGATTAAACCTAAAAAAAATCAACTCAAATCACTAGATCAATATTTGCAGAAGTTCCATAGTTTTTTTTTGAAACTTCAAACACTTAGCCACTTAGGGGAGGAGGTGGGTCGGTTAGGATAGATAAATTTGAAAAAAAAAATCTATTCAACTCAAAGTTGTGGATCAATAGAACCGTGGAAGTTTTGTAGATTTGTTCAGAAGTCTGGAGTTATGCAGAAAATTTTTGTAAGTTCTGCGATTCAAAGATCAACTCGAAATCACCAATAAATGGTCTAGAAAAACAAATTCCACTTCTTTAGGTGGAGTAGAGCTATTCCTTGCAGTTTGAACTCCACACGCGAGCAAATCAAGTTGCAACCCTAAAGTCAACGTAAAAGTGGGTATCCCAACAAATAGCTACAACAATAAATGCAACCGACATAATCGGTCTGTTCGCTTCTTGGTTTTAGTTAGGGCTTATCACTCATGGTACAGTATTTTTCTCTCACAACAAACCAAAGACACCGGTAAAGTTTATCGACCTATAAATCAACCAAATGAGCAATTTGAATGATTTAACTCGAGATTTGACAACACAATCAAGGTATGCCGAATCATCACGTTGTTGAGGAGGCCACAAAGGTCTTAAGTCTCTTCCAACGATATATTCTCTTTTCAAGCGACCATAAAGATCAAAGCTTGAGGTTTCTCCTAGATGAATCGAGGCAATACAAACCGTACCTCACCACAAGATATTGGAGCTTCACGAGCGACGTCTAGTCGTCTAAAACCTAAGTTGAAACTAAAAGCCAAACAACATGTTTTTTTTTCAACTTTTTCTTACCGCGTCTTTTCCATCTATTTTAGCCTTGTTTTGGTATAGCTTCACTGAAAAAGCTAAATAAATAAAAAACATAGTTAAAATAAGCTGGTATTACCTAATTTCTATGTGGTTTCGTAATAGGACTGTGGGGAGAAGCATCACCAGAAAAAGCTAAAAAAACATGTTGTTTGACTTCTAATTTTAGTTTCTTTTAGCAATAAGCATATTATAAGGTGTACCAAACAGACCTTTTGTATTATAAAACCTAAAAATTGGGTTAAATCATCTTACCATATTTTTCTCAGTTGATACAACTTCTCACAGAAGAACTTTGCATTAAAGCTGTAACAAAACAGGGCCATTAGTTTGAGATAGAAATGACTTTTTTTTACATGAGCGTTTGATACCCGAGAAGCCTGCCTCCCCACCTCCCCGATATGATAACTGTCGTCGTCCGGCTCAAAGCCGCCACAGCCTCGCCTTCGATTCTCTCCCCTCCCCTTCGTCCTCACCAGCGACGAACCCCTCCTCCTCCTGCTGCTGTTGTGCGCGCCGGAGCCCTCCTCTGCTCCGACCACGCTAGTCCCCGAACCCGAGGCAGACGCAGGCCAGCCCCCGCGATGGCACAGACCAACGACAACGACGCCTTCAGCCCCCGTAAGACCCCTGCGCGCTACGCCATCGATTGACCGCACCGCACCTCCTGCTTCCATGTTTTGGGTCCGCCCCTGTAACCTAACTGGTTCATGTCCTTCCGGGATCAGTATGCCTGTAATTGCAGACTGTTGTTGTGAAAGTCGCTTGAAAATTGCAGTTTTGTTCAGCGGCAGTGGTTAGATCAGTGCATGCTGATGAACCCCAGCACCTGGCTAGTGACTAGTCACCGGTCCAATAAACAAAACTCCTAGTAAGTTTACCTTCTATGACGCATGAGATTATGAGAATGATGCCTTGTGTGCCAGCTTCACCCAGCGAGTAAATCTTGCTGGGTTCAGAATTGGGGCTTCAAGTGGATGTTGTTGTTCCATGTGGATGTGCTTCGAACTACACGTTGTGGGTATAACTGAATAGTTTTGAAGCTACAGAAACGATTCCTTCAAGCTGCAATGCTATTTTTGTACATGAGTATTGAGTAGACTCTGTCGATCTTTGAACAACGTAACCACCTCTGCGCAGCTGTTTCCCAAGAAAGGGTTGTGATAACAAACAAACTTGGTGAGAGGCTTGTGGGGCTGCTGCATCACACTGTATCAAACAAGATTGTGGTCTTGTGCCATGGTTTTATAGCTTCCAAGGTAAATACACCCTGTTTCCTTCAAGATATTTATATATCCCTTAATTGCAGGCCAAGTAGCCAACTATTACTTTGTTTGGGAAATGCCAGGCATTTTAATGTTTTTAAAATATTTATAGCTGCCTCATGCAATTTATTGCTCATTTCCAGAATGACAGCCTCATTCTTGACCTGGCGGCAGCGTTGACAAAGAAAGGGATCAGTGTCTTCCGCTTCGATTTCAGTGGAAATGGGTAAGCTGCACCACCAGAACTGTGTGATCACCAGCAACTTTAACCAGGTTATTGAAGCAATTATAGAAAATTTTCTTTATTGTGACATAATCCTGTTTCTTATCTTAAAATCAAACCATTTTCCAAAATTTTGGCTTAGTCGTTATTGCTATTTGATGAGTTGAGGTCCTTAGCAAATTATCAAAGTATATGTACCAGTTGTTTTTTTCCTGTATGTGGTCGTTTAAGTTCCTGTTGCTTGATATATGATTTTGCAGTACCATTTCTTAAAGTACCACATTATATTTAACATGAATGCACTCTATATAAAACCTCCCTTGGGTGATCTATTTTAATTATACACAGAGAAAGCGAAGGTCAGTTCGAGTAGGGCAACTACAGGAAGGAGGCTGACGATTTGCATTCTGTCGTATTGTATCTCTATCGAAGAAGTTATGATATAGAAGCAGTTGTTGGTGATGCCTATCCTTTCTTTTGTAGTTTGGTCATGCATCATGTTTGCTGGTGAGTTCCATTGAATTTTCATCAGTTATGTATTAAAAGAGTTTGTTCAGTTAAACCAGAATTTGCACTGAAACCTAGTTGTACTATTAGAGTTATGTAAGAAAATTCTGCTCATTTAGTGTACTATTAGAGTTATGATAACACTGAAACCTAGTTGTGCCATCTATATGGGCCTAGTAACTTGTTATGGGTTTGCACTTGTTTGGAACTCCTAAGAAGTTTTGATGTTGGTTATTACTTACTCAGCTCTCTTGCGTAGTTGAGAAAAAATGTGGTTATTACTTCCTTACAATGTATTGTTGTTCTGTTAAATGCATTAAGCATATCTTATCCATTGTATTTAACAATTAATATTTTTAGGTTTTTTAACAATTAATTTTGGTTTAGATTTCCAATGTTAGCAACTAAGTGAAGCAAATCCACAAGATTCCTTTTGTTGATGATATTATATTTTGCCACACTTGCCCTGTTCGTTTCGCTGAAAAGCCAGGCTGAAAAGTACTGTTGGCTGATTTGTTGTGAGAGAAAAACACTGATGGCTGGCTTTCAGTTCCCATATCTTATTGAATGATAAACATATCACTTTGGAAATCTGACTCGGTGAAACTGCATTTCCTTTTGCAGGAGTGTAGGGTCGAGATGGCAGATTAGAGGGGGGTGAATAGTTCTTTCTAAAATTAATCGCGTCGGCTAACCGAAACAAGTGCGGAATTAAAACAATCGGTCTAGCCAAGACTACACCCCTCTATCTATATTCTCTAGCACCTTGCAAAGATCCTAATTATGCAACTAAGGTACCGGGCTAACTAGAGCTCACCTATCCAATTCTAGGAGTAAGGTCACATAAACCTATGCCACTAGTACTTTAAGCAACGAGGGAGCTCCTACACATGCTAGTAAGCAAAAGCACAACGCTACCTAAGCTCACTAGCAATGCTCAATAACAATGCTACATAAGCCAAATTATAGAGCGCAAATTACTTAGCTACACAAACTAAGCAATGTGACTAACAAGGTTACATAAACTAAATTGGCCACACAAGGGAGCTACTTCTATGCTTCACAAGCAAGAAGGTAACTAGTGAGCTACACAAGCTAACTAATTATAAGAACAACTATACAAGCACAATGTATATGAAAGTAACTACAAGCTTGCGTAAGGGGGTTGCAAACCAATGGGAAGAACAATGTTGACATGGTGATTTTCTCCACGAGGTTCACGTGCTTGCCAACCGCGCTCGTCCCGTTGTGTCGACCGCTCACTTGGTGGTTCGGCGACTAATTGGCATCACCTGCCAAGCCCGCACGTCGGGCACCGCAAGAACCTACCCCGAAAGTGAGGGTAGTTCAATGACACGCTCAACTAGAGTTGCTCTTCGCGGCTCTCGCGGGGCGAGCACAATGCCCCTCACAAAACTCTTCTCCGGAGCACCGCACAAGCTTCTTGTGAGCTTCTACGGAGACCACCACCAAGCCGTCTAGAAGGTGGCAACCTCCAAGAGTAACAAGCACCATCGACTTGCAAGATGACCACCTAGTGCCACTCGATGCAACCTCACGATGCAATCGCACTAGAATCGCTCACTCACTCGATCGAATGAATACTATCAAGCTCAAGTGAGTTAGAAGGCTCCCAAACACTACCACATAAGCCACCAAGGCTCTAGTGTGCTCAGCAACCAGCCCAAGGCCGTATGTCTCATGTGCAATGAGCTCCTTCATCATCACATGTGTGTGCTTTGCAACATCTCCAAGTCATTTCCATCTACATGGCATATGTTGCTCACACACATGTACTTGTGGACTAATCACATGTGTATCTCACATAAACATAATTAGTCCACCTAGGGTTGTCACTAAATTACCACAACCACACAAGGACCTTTCAAGGAGGAGATGTAGTGATTCTATATGCTTCTTGTCGGGTTCATAAACTTGGGGTCCCCAATGGACGCGCTTCCCTACAAAACCCGGCCCGGCAGGCGGTGCAGCGACAGCACGTGCCTGGGCCGGTCCAAATACATAATGACAGGCCAAGACAACGATCCGGTTCCTGACCGGAAGGCCTGGCCGAGGTGCGACCGCAATCCGACTCCGACCCCCTTTCTCCGACCGAGGATACACCGGACCTCTGCTCGCTACTCTTTCCCGACCGACACGGTCGGGGCCGACTGGAAACGACTGACCGGGGACATCCGCTCGGTGTGGGCCTGGGGAGCAGGCGAAGCAGATAAGATAAGACGCTCAAGTCAACCGCAATACCGAGGACCGTACCCTGCCATGCCCTGTGCACCTGCAGGACGGTGCCATCGGGGCATGTCAGGCGAACACGGTAGAGCCTACCAGACGTATCAAAGCATAAACAGTATTGTGGGCGCCGTCGTTTGCGGTACCAGTCGAACATGGTAGAGCCTGCTAGACGCGTCTGAACATAAACAGTATTATGGGCGCCGACGGCCATCCCGTACCCGATGACGTGGGCAACAAGACTAGGCAGCGCCCGTATGAACTCTCTCTTTCTCTCTGACTTGTAAGGTCATCCCCTTCAACTATAAAAGGGGATGCGCTCTCTCCTACTAAAAGGACATGAGCTTCGAACCCCGAAGCCCGAAGACTCGAAGACTCGAGGACTCGAGGACAACAGCACAATGGCTCTAGAGCTCGACAGCTATACAGTCTACACGCTCTCAACAGCTAATAAGCTCGGACACACAGAGTATACGCTCCGATACTTAGCGCACATTTGAGCATCCGTCACTCTCTTCCACTCGGCTTAGAGTCCGACTGGGCCTCTAACACCCCCTTCTCATTCCTTACTCGTTTGTAACCCCACAGCAAACTTCGAGCACCTGGGCTCACGAATAAAGTCACCGACCGACCTCAACTGGACGTAGGGCCTGTTGCCCGAAGCAGTATAAATCCTGTGTCATTGAGTGTTAGGCCACATCCGATCATAACGCACGGCAAAACTACAAATATTTACTTGTTGGCCACATTTCGCACCGACACTTCTATTTACAATGATGTCCGCCGCGATTGTTGATTTATCGGGGCCGATTTGATTTAAAAAAAGGCATTGAAGAACGAATAGGGGAAGGTTCTATCGATAGAATAAATAAAGAAGGCTACCTTGATGTCAAGGATAAATTTGGTATGAATGGGGTTTAGGTAGCTCTTTCTGTGCAATCACTTATTCACTTTCATGTGTGTGTTTTGACCCGTGTTGGAACCAATGTAGAAAATGTCAACTCTGGGGTAACCAAAGAAAGTTTGATGGATCGGCTTAATACTGATATCGTGTGGCAAAGTGTTTCCATAAGCAAGGAATGCAGGTATGGAAACTATTTCAGACATTATGACCCTCATGTTTATACTCCAAACAGAAAAAAGATAAGTTACCTGAGCATTAGTGTTTCATCTCTGCACACATGAAGTTCAAATTGTGTTTTTCTCATTAAGTTCCATTGTGCTAGAATAGCTCGCATGTTGTTTAGGTTTTCGCTATTGTCTCTATTCAGGTTCTTAACGGTCCATGGTTCAGCTGACAAGACCATACCTGTAGAAGATGCCTATGAGTTTGCGAAGCATGTACCCAACCATAAACTGCATGTCATAGAAGGAGCAAATCATAACTACACCGCACATCGCAAAGAAGTTGCTGATGCAGTAGTAGATTTCATCACGTCCAATGGGGTTTAAGGTATTTAAAATTTATCTTTTGTACTTTTTTTGTATGTCCAGATATTCCATGTGACAGAACTTTTCTTTTTGTAATGCAGGCTGGGGAGCCCACGTCTCCAAGAGGCAAATGGGACCCTTCAATACTGGGGCAGTAATCAACAAAGACTTGCATGGTACTAGGTGTATATTATCTTCTGAACCGAAAACCGATGTCATGTAGGTTTGATATGATGTTGCTGGTATGTGCTTTAAGAATTCCTGTAAATATCGAACTCTCTTGTGGCTACATCTTCTGGATTGATCATCTCAGTAGATGTTAGACATAGGAGTATGTATGTATATAATGTGCTTATGGTTTTTTAGGCGTCGCCTAAGCATTGATGCAAGCCATAGGACACCATATGGCCTAGGTTTCCAGGCATGATCCACGCCACAGGACACCACAACGCCTCAAAAGCCATGAACGTGCATGGGGTTTGTCACAGGATTTTTGTTTTGTCAAATACTATTTGTCTCACGTGGTGGCGGCGTGTTCATGGTTCCGCACAAATGGCTGCTACTCAGGACACTGCAACATATCAGTGTTAATAGTTCAGAATCACTGAAACTGAACATCTTGTAACTTGATTTCCATGGACGTTTGCTAGCATTGCTTCACAAAGCAGTTGCGAAGAACTTGTGGTAAGAAGACACCAGCTGGTTCAACCCGGTGCAGCGGGGAGCACTTCTGAGTGCCGGATCGGTTTGGTCGCCTGGTTGCCTAGTGCCTATTCCAGTGAGGCTCAGCAGTGAGCAGACAGCCTTCTGTGTCACTTGTCATCTGGCATGCTTGCGGGGGGTGCCTGAGTGCGTGAAGGACTGCAGATCAATGTATCAACCACAATTCATTGGTTTGTACTATACCAGAGCAAAATGAGCCCGGCCCGCAGGCCCGGCCCAAGCCCGATAGGTTTTAGCCCGCCCACGAACCTTACTGGACAGGGCCTGGGTAGAGATCTCGCCACCTAGAAAAAAATTTCTTGGCTCGAGTCCGGTCCAAAATACTGTTCTTTTTTTTTTTGCTATTTTACACTATAAAATGCGCGGGCGGCCCGCCCAGAGCTGGCTTGGCCCGAGCCCTGCCAAAAATCTGGCCCGACCTGCCCAGTTGGACGGTTATGGGCGGGACTTTTTTTTGGCCCGAAATAACCGGGCTTTTTTTAGGCCCGGCCCGAACACAAATGTCTCTCAATCCCAAAAAGAATGTTGCATAGGATTTTGTGTTAGTCACACTTTCTTTGACAAGATTTTTTCTGAATAAGTTTATTATAAAAATATATTTAACAATTAATCTAATGATACTTATTATGCATTATAAGTAGGGATGAAAAGCGAATCGAATACGGACGGATATCACCAATTTTACATTTGTTTTATATTTCATTCGGATTCAAATCTGAATAGTATTAGGCATCGGATAGGATACGATTGAGTATCAACGTCATAAATATGTGATTTGAGTCTTCGGATATGGTATCGGACGATGAATATACGAGACTTCGGATACGGATAGATTTAAACTCCTCTAAACGGATTCGGTCTTAAATACGGTCGGTCGGAAAATATCCGTGTCGTTTCCACCCCTAATTATAAGTATTAATAATTTCTTGTATATATTTGATCAAAGTTTTAACTTTCGAGCGTAAATATTTGATCAAAGTTGAAAATATTTAATTTCTCAAGAAGCGAGAATGACAGACTGGAGGAGCAAAACCAGGGTCTGTCTATGTCTAATCTAAGCCTTTTGTAATAAACTGAGGTGGCTCGGTGTAATGAGACGAGCGGCATGGCAGGCTGGACGAGGACACCATTCTGCATCTGCTCTAGGGTGTGGTTTCCCCTTCCTGCATAGAAATCAGTCACCAGGATACGATATCAATTATCATTGCTGAAACACATTCCAAGCATCGAGGTGAGTTGTTGTTTGTCTATATATACCTCACTGGATGTGATGGCTTCTACTACGGCATCAGAAAGTTCTCTACGGTGAGCAGTGTAGCAGTGATTTGCTCCCTCAATGACACGCAGTTTGTGATTTGGTATAAGCTTTGCAAACTCGTATGCATCTTCCACGGGTATGATCTCGTCAGCTGAACCATGAATTGTAAAGAACCTGGGCAAAGAGTCCAATAATAATTTCTGTGAGGAAAGATTCTATTCAACAACACTGATGAACTAGCTAACAAATGTAATATATACATACTAATCTGGGTTCTATGAGTGCACAGAAACTACAAGTTCAACAAGCATGAATATTGTGTGCTGCTATAATTGGCCACTCGGTTGTTAATCATCATGGAGGGAAAAGTATGCTTAAATAAGCTGATAACCTGCACTCTTTGCTGATGGAAAGGCTGGCTGCGTGCATATCATTGCTCAGTCGTTCCATCAAGCTCTCTTTGGTTACTCTGTACAAAACATTTCCTACATTGCAACAGATAAGCAGTTATTAGATGCACATGAAAGGTAAATAAACTACAGAGTACAGGCAGAAGATATGATGTGTTTAGCATAGCGTTCAACATAGAAGGTCAGACATGTTCCCATACCTGATTTGTTTGCGACATCAATGTAGCCTTCTTTGTTTATTCTATCCATAAACTCTTTGCCTAGGCGCTCTTCAATGCCTTTCTCCAAATTAAACCGACCAGAAAGGTTAACCACCATGGGGACATCGTTGTAGATAGAGGCATATAGAACCATCACATCTCCACCTGAAGAAAAAGAGATGCAGACTTAATGACCAAATTTCCAAATGGCTAGACAATTGCAGGGTAAATAGCATGAGAAGGATAGCCGGGCGGCTACAGCTTGCTTTCAGTGAGACAAGGATGAACTTTTTGTTTTCTCTTGCTTGCGTTTAAGGATAACAACGCCCCTCTTTAACGCTTTTATGAAAGGAATCCATTAACAAGCAAAGCATATAACAATATGAAAATTAACCTGATAGATTCCAATTGATTGCCAGATGATTGCATTGCAGTTTCCTATTCTGAATATGACTAATGATGTACATGGTTATGAATTAATGCACAAAAATACAGGAAATAGTTCTCCATGTTTGGCTCGTATGTAATCGTATTGCAAGTTTTGTTCAGAAACTGAACAAACTCTTTTGGAAGCTTGGCTTACCCATGACATGAATCTAATGGAACAACGTGATAGAAAGAATAATGAATTCCATGATTATATCAACCAAACGATGCATATAACCCACCTTTGCTGTGACCAACAATTGCTGCTACATCGTACTTTTCCTGGCGAAGATACAAGACAACAGAGTGCAAGTCAGCAGCCTCCTTCTTGTAGTTGCCATACTGGAATTCACCTTCACTTTCTCTGAAAAGTGTGCAATCAAAAGCATCATATCAACTGAGACTATGGAGCATGCATGATAACTAAAAATTACAGTAACAAGCTATGAAGTATTGTTAAAAGCTAAATATTATGAATTTCTTTCAAAAACTGTTTTACAAATGTTCCACTGTTGATTTATCTAAAAAAATGCAGATCTCAGAGACAAATGAAGTATCAAACTCAAGTGATACTTATGTAATATATATACAGAATCAGGAAGCTCCATTTAGTCCAAGCGAAGCCCATCTTTACAGAAGAGAAATTTGAAGGCAATGGATGAAATGACTTCATGAAGAAACACTACAGTAATATTTACAAAACATGCACAGAAGGGGATGATGAATCCCTAATTCCACGATCAACTTACCCATTTCCACTAAAATCAAAACGAAACACGCTAATCCCTTGCTTTGTTAGTGCAGCTGCAAGATCAGTAATGAGGCTATCGTCCTGCACGAGAGCGTCATCACATCAATAATAATTACATGAAGAGCATGCACAAAAACACGCAATTAATATTTTCCAGCCTTATCTTCAAGAGAAGAAGGTAAATTTCCTTCAGTACCTTGGAAGCCCTAAAGCCATGGCAAAGCACTACAACCTTGTCGAACCCCATGTGGTGCAGCAGGCCGACGATAGTCTCCCCATGCGTGTTCGTCACCAGTACCCTCTGTGCCGGCGCAGCTGTTCAGAAACCAAACCACATGGATTCAATTCAACAGGTCCGGGGCCGGAACGGGCGATTTGCAAAAACGGAACAGTCCGGGGCCGGAACGGGCGACTCGTAAAAACGACACTCGAAACATGGGTCGTCTGCAGATTTAAGCCTGGACCCACCTTCGTACCTTCGTAAACACTGATAGACCCACTTGCCATCGACCAAGGAGTCGATCTTTAGTCCGGAACACCAGTAATCTCTACCGAGAAATGTTACTGGCAACAGGGGTAGTAAGACAAAGATCAAGAGAAGAGAGGTGCTCACGGGTATTGGGGGCATCTTGGGATGATCTGAGCTGCTCCGCCATGGAGAACGTGTGTCCCGATCGGGATCGAATCGGAGGAGGCTGGCGTTGCGGACGCCGCCGGCCGCGGCAAGCGGAGCAGAGGCAGATCCCGGTGACTGGTGTGCGGCAGGCAGGTGAGTGGAGTGAGTAGAGGAGGGCAGAGAGGAAGGGATCCGTGAAGAGTGAAGACCTACCGGCGGCGTCGGTTGACTAACGCGCCTAGTTTTAGGAAAAAACAGTTTCCATTAAATCAGCTTTTCTGCTAACCACCAGAACCTTGTTTGTTTACGTGAGAGGCAACCGATTTCGAGAAAACTGGGAATAGTGAGTTTTGTGGAAAATAGTAAAACACTCAACACCGGATGTACACGGGGAAAATTGGAATTTTACGCCTATGGCTGATAGATTTTGTTCAAATGCCGCCCTTTGATAAAATAATAACTTTATAAAATCCTTCACGATATATTACTATTTTGGGATTTAAGTAAGCTTTTAATCTTTTTCATCTCAACTGTTAACATGCTCCTACGTTTTTCCCCTGTGTTCATTTACATCCCCTCAATCTCTCTCTTCTCTGGCACGAACTCTCCTCTTTCTCAGCTGAAAACAAAGGGCTAGATGGAAGTCCGACGTCGCCACTGCCCTAGTGCCGCGCCTCCCTTAGGGCGTGCCTTGCCACCGCCGCGACAAGAAGTTGCGTCACCGTGCCCTTACCGCGTCAACTAAATCTGTAGCACTGGACCAAGCTTAGCTCTCCATCATGCATGAATGAAATTAATGTTTCAACAAAGTAATGTGTTGCTTGTATGTGGTTTGAAAAATTAGTTGGGGTGTTGGAAAAAATCAGCACGAGTTGCTTGTGTTGATAGTATTTCACATCTCAATTCATAGATATGGCTGGGACAGTGGTCCTCCTGCCGGTCATGGAGGCAGCAGAGCTTGGGTAGGCGCGACTAGGGGGCGAGGGTGGTGGCTTGGGGGACGCGCTAGCCTAGGGTAGGTGTGGGCAGGGGCGCGCCTAGGAGCGACATGGGCAGGGGACGGTGGTGCTTGGGCAGGGGTAGCGCGTCGGCTAGGGGTCAGCGTAGGCAGGGGCCGGTGTAAGGAAAATAGACCCTAGGCCTATTTACTTTAGATTTTGGTGTTTGATGACCAACACAACTAAATTGGACTAATGAATTTACAAGTAATTGTTTTGTAGTTCAATATGGTGCAAGACGTGACTTGGACGAAGGCGACATGATGATCCCATGATCAACATCATTGAAGGGGACCGTGACGTCTAAGAGGGGGGGGGGTGAATTAGGCAACTTTAAAATTCTACTTCTCTAAACTATGGCTTCTTTTTCTAACCTTAGCAAAACCTATACAAAAGATAAACTATCTAAATGTGCAACTGCGGTTTTGCTAATGTGTTGCTATCTCTACCGTAAAATGAGTAATACAAACAATGTCAATGCAGAAGCTAAAGAGCAAGGTAGAGATATGCAAACTCCCGTCGATGACTCTGGTATTTTTATCGAGGTATCGAGAAGCGCGCAAACTTCCCCTAGTACTCGTTGGAGAGCTCCCGACGAGTAACTCCGTGGATAGCTCCGGGCCTTCTCCACGCGCAAGTGGGTCTCCAGTTAAGCCACTCGTGGCAAAGCCTCTCTCGGACCGCTCCCCGCCGTCTTCACTATCAAGCTTCCGGCCGAAACGCCGCGGGCCTTATTCCCTTCGGTACACGGTGGCGGCCACACTACAAACACGGTTGGTGTGATCTCGCAAGACTACAAGCTCATTCGATGTACAACAATGGTGCGCGCAAGCACCAAGTGATAAGAGGTATGCAAACCTCACTAAACACTAGGCTAAAACCTAGAGCAAGCGCATAAGCGGTGGTCTAATCAATCTAAGCACTTCGCAAAGCATCTACATTAATCACCTAATGAATCACTAAGCACTATGCATGTGAAGATCACTAAAATGGTGTATCAACACCCTAGGTATGTTTCTTCAGCTCCACCCATGTGAAATGGCCGATTGGAGGGTCTATTTATAAGTCCCATGGAGAAAGTAGCCGTTGGGGATGAAATCCTGCTTTTCTGCTACTGACCGGACGCTCAGGTCGTCCTGATCGGACGCGTCCGGTCGTCTCGACCGTTAGAGCCGTGATCAACTGATCGAACACTGCTGGCGTCCGGTAAGTGCTGAGTGTGTTGCAGTCCCTGCGTCCGGTTGATTTGCTGCCAGCGTCTGGTTAGTGCTGAGTGTGTTGCCGGGATGGTGAATAGTGTCACCGGTGCATCCGGTCACCTTTAGTACTCAGCGTCCGGCCGCTCCTGCAGACGCCTACTGTTGCCAGGCTCTTGATCAGAGTGTCCGGTCGCTCATCTTCCAGCGTCCGGTCGCTGCGTCCGGTCACTCTGCCGAGTAGTTTCTTCGCGATCTTGCGTACGACTTGGTTCCTATCTTCGTGCTTGGACTTTGCTTGATATTTTGGGTTTTCTCTTGTGCTTCTAGGGTCTTTCTTGAGGTGTTGATCATCGGATTATCATGTCGCCTTCGTCCAAGTCACGTCTTGCACTCTATTGAACTATAAAACAATCACTTACAAAATCATTAGTCTAATTTGGTTGTGTTGGTCATCAAACACCAAAATCCAAAGTAAATGGGCCTATGGTCCATTTTCCTTACAATCTCCCCCTTTTTGGTGATTGATGACAACACGACCAAAGCAAGCAAATAATAAAATTTTTGGAATTTAGAAACTATTTACTTGCTAGGATGCAATGCAAAGGGCATGGTTATATGATGCTAAAAGATGTCAATTGAAGATACCACTTGTAAAGCTAAACTTATCTTGCCCTTGCAAATATCCCTATGTGGCATTATGGATTTAAGCCTTGCTTTTTTGATCCTACAAATTCTCCCTATTACATAGACTAATCCATAATCCACTATCCTCCCTTTCTCGGACAATTACCACTTGTAAAATATTATGATCGGGCTTGCTTTTGGTCCTATAAATTCTCCCCCTTTGGAATCAAACACCGAAAAGAAAGACATTAGTAGCACAAGGGAGGGTCAAACTTTGTGAACCTTTGTATGTGGAGTGGAATAGGTCATAAAATTTGACTCTCACATTACATAGACTAAGCTCCCCCTAAATATATGCATACATATGATGAAGAATGTAGTTAATGCATAATTGACAAATTAATACTCAAGGGAGTTTAATCTATATAATGCATGGAGAAAAGATATAAATACCAAAGTGAAATCAACATGATGATATCAGTTTAGAAATACCACATGTGGAAATCAATTTGATTTATACCACTTGCAATAGGTGGTGGATATTTGAAGTATGATGCTTAACTCCGGGGACTTCATTTTCCTTGCAATGAGACTACTACACACATGATAAGCTTAAAAAGTGTTAGTCTCAAAGCATCCAACTTATAGAGTAACCTCCCCCTAAATTTGTGCACACAAGTATGGAATACTTGTAAGAGATATGCACATTGATTTTAGAATAAAAAATACCACTTGAAGGATGACATCACATGAATGTGAGAATCATTTTCGAAAATGATATTCGGGAGAAATTATCTACAATTTGGACTTTGGCACATATTAGATGAACAATAGAAAGACAAGCTATGTGCCGTACTTCTAAACAATTTAAACCATGTAGGTTTGCTCTAAGGATTAAGAATGAAACCGAGCAATCCTACCATATGATTTACCTAGTGTATGCATGACAAATTATATAAGCATGCAAATGCAAACCAAGGCATGAAAGGAACTAGATGCTAACTAAGATTGCAAGAATTTAAATCTTGATACTACTTGTAGGAAGTACCAATTGAAAGAATTTATATCTAGTTACCTAACATGGTAATGGGAATTTGAGTCCATAGTATTCACTAACCCACTTGGCAATTTACATGATCCAATGTGATGCACCCCATGAAATGCACCCATACTTTGCTAAATCTCCAAATTCCCCGAAGTCCAAACGGACTCCTCACTTCCCTTTCGGGATCCAAACCTTCTTGGTGCTCTTTATATTGGAAATGATCTCCTTTAGCACCCAAAAGCGTTTGACCCCATTGTTGGCTTGCTTGTTCACCTTGATGGCCACCACATTATCATTTTCTTCTTCTTCATGAGATAAGGTGTGGAGGCCTTTTTGTCCACCTTGTTGGTGTAGGTGTTGGAGAGCTTGCTTGTTTGCCTTTTCTCATTCTTCTTTGCTCCTCCTCCATTCTTCACCTTGCACTCAAAGGACTTGTGGCCTTCCTTGTGGCACACATAGCAAACCATAGGTTGTCCTTCATCAAGCTTCTTCACTCCCTTGACGGTGTTATCTTGATGAAGTTGGGTTTGCTTCGTCTTGCCTTTCACTTGAGTCAAGTCCTTGGTGAGGCGAGCCACTTCTTGCTTGAGTTGTTCATTCTCAATTTCAACCTCTTGTGTGCATGTATCTACAACAACTTTCTCAACATAAACTTGGTTGCATAAGGGTGAGTCTAAACATAAATCATTGCAAGAAGTAGATGCATCCTTTTTAGGCATGTCAATGATAGAACTTTTCTTTTTAGATGCCTTGGTGAGGGTTGTACCGATGGCTTCAAGATTAGCAACTTTATTAGTTAGCTCATCACAATGTTTGCACATGGTTTCCATTTTAGTAAGCAAACTTTTATAAGCATCTTGTGAGCTAGCTAACTTTTCTTTTAATTTTTCATTTTTCTTCACAAGTTGCTCATCATTGATTGTGCATGCATTTGTTGTTGCACTAGCCTCGAGGTGCTTAATTTTAGTAGATAGTTCAATATTGAGATTAGCAAATGTCTCATATTGTTCAAGCAAAGTTTTATATGCTTCTTGTGAACTATCTAGCTTTTCTTTTAATTTTTCGAGCTTCTTTTGTTGACTACTGCAAACTTTAGCATAGTTAAGATTTTGTTGCACAATTTTATCATAAGAAGGCATTTTATCA